TCTCTGAGATTGGTCGGATCCCGAGAGGGGGCGGAGCGTAGCGGGAGAAGCCCTCCTCCTGCTCCGCCCCCTCTGCCGGCACTGCCCGGCCTTCGCGCGCCCAGGCCTGCCAGGCGGCCTCTCCCTGTCACCGCTCAGGGAGCGTGGTACCGGGGGCGTCTTGCGGACGGCCGAAGGTTAGGTGCAGGTCCCTCTGCCACCCTGCAGGGCCTGGCGTGTGCCAGTCGGGGACCGAGGGTCCGGGAGAGTCGCGTTCCCCCTGCCAGTTGCTCAGAGGAATTCTGAGGTCGCTCTCCCACGTGCAACCCCGGGCCCCAGACCTTGCAAAGCAACATCTGAGCTCGGGGTGCGCACCGGTCCTGAGCCAGGGCTTGCAGAGAAGAGCAGCCGAGAAGCGCGTGTGTACACGTGTGCCACGCACTCAGGGAACGCGCGCGCTCCATAGCACCGCGTCCCCACAGCGCGGCCCCTGCACCTCGCAGCCGAGCTGGGCGAGGGGCGACGAGGAGAATGGCTGCCGGAGGCGTCCTCGCCTTCGGGCTCACGTGCATCGCAAGCAACAAGTGCAGGACCGTTGCATCCTGCTCCCGGGAGTGAGCGGTCCGGATGGGCGGACAGGTAGGAGGCCGACGAGTCCTGAGGATCCCATCCTTGCTTTTAAGTTTCATACCTTGTGCATCATGATTTTATTTTTTTTGCATTCATTCTGTTTAAAAAATATAATATTAAAACGCTGTTTGTCTCGATTGCCTAGCTTCTTGGTGCCCCTTTAAATTTCACGCTGGAAGCGAGTATCTCACTATCCTTACCCTCGTCAGGCGGGTCTCACTTGGAGGAGAGAGATTTTGACCTGACTGACAGTGTACAGAGGTTAGGTATTGTGCAACAGACCTCTGGGATAGGAAGTGGTTAATTATACAGGAGATATGGGCCAGAAAGAAGTCTTGGGTGAGGAGGTGGCCTTGGCTTTGGGCACTGAAGGGTGCATAAGGCTTAGCTGTGCTGGGAACCTGCTCTTCTGCAGAGGCTGGAAGACACCCTGGGGGATTTGACAGACAGGTGCCTCAGGGGCCGGGAAAGGAATTCGCGTTGAGCCAAATGTAAGCAACGATGGGTAAACTGGAGGCCGATGGGTAAACTGGAGGGGAACCCAACGGCTAAAAACATTGAAGATGTGTACTTAAAGGGCATTCAAATTTAAATGAATAAAACAAACTTACAAACAGTGGGGCTAACCCATCCAAAGAGGATTTTGCCCATTCAAAGAAGAAGGATATCATCTTCTCTGACTGTGGGGACATGGTTATAATGGAGGCTAGAGACAGTTTTCAGGTCAGTTACTACAGGTCTGAAAAGCCAAATTGAGTAGCAGACTTAGTGTGAAATGGGAAGCCGCTATAGAACTAACTATAGGAGGGGAAAGAAATGGTTGATTATAACGATTTGGTGGACTCTGCCTGTACTAGGAATAATTTCAAAGCCTGGGGTCCTTTCAGCTGTTACTGCCCTCTTGTCGTTGGGTGGTCAACCCTATGCAAGGAATTTGAGGCCAAGGTTTGCATCCCTACTCAGACATGTTTTTGGCTCAGTGACATTAAGCAATACCTAGCTCCCTGGGTCTCAATTTTCTGAGTCTGTGAAACATCAGTGAACAAAACAAAGACCCCTGCCTTTCTAGGTTTTTACAGTAAGTGACGGAGACAGATGAAGGTGTAGAGCAGGGCAGACAATGGGGAGGGCCAGGGTAGTCCCCATTGAGAAGGTGAGGTTTGAATAATGGACTTGCGGAAAGTAAAGGTGCCGTGCTGTGTGACGAGCTAGAAGAGCTTCTAAAGCAGACAACCGTCTGAGCACAGGCCTGGAGGCTAGACCACGCAGGAAGCTTGTGTTTCTGCAGCTGGGAGCATGGGAGAGCTGGCAGGGGGGTTGGAGAGGTAGGGAGGACCCGATCAGCAAGGCCATGTGGGCCAATGTATGCCCTCTGGCCTTTGCCGTGAGTGAGGAGAAATGAGGGGCCAGCGCGTGGTTTTCAGCAACAAGTAAGATGATCTGACTTAGATTTTAAAGGATCATTTTGGCTGCCGTGTTGACAGCAGCCTAAAAAGACAAAAAAAAAAAAAGTAAAAGCAAGAACAGCTATTAGAAGGGTGCTGTCCGAATCCACCGAAAGATGGTGACTTGGACCAGGGTGACAACAGTGACGAGTGGTCAAATTCTGGATGTATTTTGAAGGTGGAGCCAACATAGTTTCACAGGTAGATGGGGTGTCGGGTCAGAGAGAGAGAGGAGTCGAAGGTTTTGGGGCTTGAGCCACTGTGAGGCGGGGCAGGAGAGACAGCGGGCCCTTAGTTTTACACATCTGAGGGGGACGTCAGCTAGGCAGTTGGAGGCATAGGACTAGGGCTCAGGTCAGAGGTAGAGGGGAGATAAAAGTTAGGGAATCGTCATCAGGTAAGTGATACTTAAAGCCGTGAGGCTGATTGGAAAGTGAGAACAGAGAAGACGGAGCTCGGAGCCCCCGGGCCTCTGACATTGAGCCTCTGACATTGAGCGTTCCTGGGGAAGTGTGGGAATGAACCAGAAGACCCAGAGGGAGGAAACAGGTGGGAGGAAAACAGAGTCAGGTGTCCTGGAAACCCAGCGGAAAGGCGTGTGACGAGGAGAGCGTGGTCAGCTGCGTGGTAGCCGCTGCAGGTTCAAGTGTGATGAGGACTGAGAATTGACCCCTGCATTTAGTAACACAGAGGTGACCTTGGCGGTAGAGTTCAGGTGGAGGGCAGAAGCTCGAGGGTAGTGGCAGTCACACCTTACTTATTAGGGATTTGGTGGGGGGTTAATGACACGTGAAAAATCTTCCTCAACTGGCAGGGATGTGAGCAAATTCTTAACGGATGTTATCTAAAATTTATTTTTATTCAGATTCTTGCCCCGTTTATCATGGCACCTAACACAGTTGGGAGTCTTTCTGTCTACATTTGGTACGAGTTTGCAGAGGTTGGGTTTCCATGGCGTCAACTGCTTCCTTCATTCCAAGCCTGGCTGAGAGGTCACAGCATCGGTGGTGAGTTGAACTTCAGACAGGCCACTGCCACTAATTAGCTCTGTGGTCTTAAGAAACTCATGCAAACTGGGGACAAAAGCCTACCCGCAAGGGTCGCTGTGAGGATTAAGATGCGCGTTGTACTCATCCAGCCACTGTTCTGTGATGACTTCCTGCCGGCCCCGTATTTAAGTGCTGACAGGAGACGGAGTGGGAGAGCTAAAGGTGCTTCTCTGGTTGGCTCATGTGCACAGCGCTGCTTAAGGGCAGTGTACACAGTCTGTTTATAGCACAGGCACATAATAATTGCTTGGTTCTGCCACATGCTATTAATCAAAGGTCACAAGACTGACCCAGATCCAAGGGCTAGGGAAATGACCCTACTCTTTCAAGCGAGTATCTTGCAAAGAAAGTGTGGCCATGTCAATCCCCTCACCAGCCTGCCTCTTCAGCATCGTCCAAGGGCCCACCTACTTCTAAGTGGGGACTGGCCGGGGAGGGGTGAGGCCACAGCAGAATCTGAGGCTCTGGTTAGTGGCAGAGGAAGTACCCTTAGAAAAACTCACAGGCTTGTGTCAACAGTGCTTCTTCTAATAACTTTTCATCGGGTCTAAAGTAAAGGTTCTCAAACTTTTTGGTCTCGGGATCCCCTTATACCCCCAAATTATTGAGGACCCCAAAGAACTTTTAGCTCTCAACATTTACTGTATTAGAAATTGAAAGTGAGCCTTTTAAAAAATAAACACTAATTTACTTAGTAATAACCAACCTTTTACATGTTAACATAAAGAACGTTTTTTAAAAATGAAAATTAGCTGTCTTTTCCAGAATATAAGTCAGTAAGAAAAGTGATGCTGTGTTCTCCGTTTGCATCTGTCGGCCTACAGAAGAGACGCTGGTTCTCGTAGTCCGGTGCAGTATCACACCTCATGCAGCCTCTGGAAAACCTCACTCTCGTGAAAACAAGGCAGATAATGACTTAGGACTATACCAAAAATAATTGTGATCTTGCTGATGCCCTCGGGGGAGTCTCAGGGGTGTCCAGGGGTCCATGGGTCACACTAAGAACCACATCGTCTTGGCAGAGTGTCTTTAAATTGTGGAAAGAGTATTGCACTTGAAGCAGGTGCCCAGGCTAGCATCTCCCTCAGCCCGTGGGCATGCTTCTGCCCATCTACCGACACTCGCGAAATCCCGTTGCCAGCCCTCTTCATGACCATACCCCCCACCACCACCAAACTCCTACTCACCCCTCAAAACCCAGTATAAACGCTTGCTCCTTGCTGAAGGCTTTCGGGACTCCTATTGGCAAAATTAGGGCTCCGCCCTTGTGTGCGTTCACATACTTTGTTCTTCCTCCTGCAGTAGCATTTACTGGGTCAAATAGAAAGGTGTGTCTGCATGTTTGCCTCCTCTCTGATCAGACCGGAGAGCTGTTTTCCTTAAGTTTGATTTTTTTTTTTTAAATAATGGTGTGGGATAAGGGGGTAAATGGGTCCACCTCCCAACTTTTAACTAATCGTCCTCGCAGATTTTGTTCAATCCTGCCCTTTCTCGTGGTTTTGTTTGAGGCCTCCTGTATCACGTGTTAACTTTTTGTATATCATAGTTTCTAGATCTGGGCGTTTTCCCCTAATCTTGTTACTCTGCTTCAGCACTGTGTGTGTTTTTGTTAAAGAACCATGATATTTTAATCACATTGCTTTATAGTAAGTTTTAGTATCTACGGGAGCTTGTCTTTCCATCATCTATTTGCTCTTTTGAGCTTTACCGGAAATTCTGATCTGTTTATACCCCCAGGTTAACTTGAGAATAATTTTGTTAGTTTCCAAGAAATATCCTGCTAAGATTTTTAATTGGGATTACATATGCCTAAACGATTTGGGGGAGCAGAGAGAGAAATGTGTATCTTACAGAATTTGGATGGCCCCTCAGGAAATCTGCTGGGCTGTTTTCCCCGCGCCGCCCCCCCCCCCATTTTTTTAAGCTTTTAAAAAACCTCTAGCATATTTTAATCCCTTAATTTTATATAACTTTATGAAATAGTAAAGAGAAAACACATGATCATAGTACTTCCGGTTAATTCATTTAGCTATAGTTTGCTTCGTCAATAGTGTGGATCTTTTTTCTTGTATTTTGAAACTGGCCAGCGATAATATATTATAATGCTGTTTAATTCTGTATGTCTATTTTACACCTGACCACGTAACTGATCTTGTAAAATAGTCTTTATTAATTTTTCAGTCAATTGCTTTGGGCATCAAGCTTCTAGGTTGCACCTGGCAACCCCAACAGTGTCTGGGTACCAGGCAGGTATGTGCTCGCCCCACTGTGGGCCCTCGACAAATGTTTGTCAAACGAGTGGATCAGTCCATGAATCACACAGTGTTGAGTTACAGGAGAGCCTGGAACGAAACAGCTCAGTGCTTACAACACTGGGCGGTCAGTGCTGGGCTCCAGGCCAGGCCCTTCCACTTAGCGGGTGAGCGAGATCGGGGCAGGTTGTTGAAGTTCTCTGTGCTTCGCTTCCTTGTCTTTAGAGATCATAATATTTTCTTCCTTAGGTTGATTAAATGAAAAACAGTTTATGCAGAGTGCTTAGCACACGTCTGGCACAAAAATAAGTGCTCAGTACACAGTAGTTATAAATGCGATCTAATTAGTTGCCTGATCCAGTCATAGCTGAAATTAAGTGGTCTTTTGCAAGAGTTGACTGGGTAGGGACACACACCGACAGGCAGCAAGCAACCAACAGTAATTGGCAAGCAGAGCAGTAAAGATGACCCACCCAGCTCGTAAGCAAAGAAATGCACAGGCCGGTCACGGAGCCCTGTGCCCGCTGCTCAGGCGGGAGGAATGCACAGAGCTGCCCTTGCTGACTGGGCAGGGCAGGTGTGGCTGAGTCAGCGGGCGGCACGTTCGCGTAGCCTGGATCCTGGGAGCTGGGGCTGGCGGGGCGCCAGATCGAGGAGGCAGGTGCTGACACTGAGGTGCTTCTGTGTGGCACTGAACGCCTCTCTATTAATTAGCCCATCCGGACGGGCCACCCTGGAATGTGTGCCAACCAGCACATGCAGCAAAGGACACGGACCGAAGGGCGATCGACTGTCGGGGTCGGCCCAGGGCCGAAGGGTGTCTGGGGCCGATGCCGACATTGAACCAGCCCTGGGCAAACCCGACGGTTGTTCCCTCTCCTTGAGTAAGGTCCTTGGGCAGCGGGGTGAGGCAGAGCCCCAGGCTCGGTCCCTGGAGATCCGACGGCCGCAGGTTGGTGTTGACCCCCAGCTGCTCCGAGGGGCCGCGCTGCTGGGTGTTTGGGAAACAGTGCCATCTCTGACCCTGTTCACGGGTCACTTCCACACGAGAGGAAATGGAGTCGGGAAACATGGAGGATCAGATAACTTGGGATTGCGGTTTGGGGCCCGCCTCCGGTGTCCCCTAGGTGTCTGTTCCCTCATCTGGACCGTACGCGTTTGTGAGGTGGCCGTCTTTCCCGACAGAATCTCGAGGCTGGTGACTTCCTATCCAGCACAGCGTCGGGACTCGGGACGTGTCGAATGAGTAAATGCAGCAAGTTGCAGTTCAGCTGCTGCAGGACGTAGGAGCCGAAGGGGCAGAACGAGGTGGCGAAGCCGCCTGTTTTGAAAAGATGCTTAAGTCAAAACGAGAGGACCAGAATAGACACAATAGGAAGTCTGGCCTCCAGCACACAAACAGGAAGCGCTCGAACAACAACCTCACAATCATCCACGGGGCCTTGTGTTGCTAGATTTCCTGGCAGAGGTTCTGTTCGTTTGGGGACCTTCCCACCAGCGGGCCTGGCCCCAGGTCCAGTGCTCTCTCCTGCTGGCTTTCGTTGTGCCAACACACATGGCGGTGGATCCGACTGACAGGCACTGGGCTGCCCGAGGCCCTGGGCAGAGTGTTGGCGGGATGCAGAGGCTAACAGGAAAGGGAGCTGCCCGCCGGGGGTGCCTGTGCCCCGGGGGACTCTGCTCAGACACACGAAGGCACACGCACGGCCGTGGTGCGGCAGAGGAGCCATGAAGCGTCCCGTGTGGGTGCTTCCCTTTAAAGGCCATGGCGTGACCTAGCAGGTGTAAGCCGGAAACTTTAGGGCAGCCAGAAGGGTGCCGCCCGGGTCACTTGGCTTCCCCCTGTGGCTCCTCCCCGAGTCTCACACCTGCATCCTTGCTCACCTCCGCTGGCTCTGGCTTGTCGCCAGACCTGACAGTCACGTGCCACTGGCACGTATGTGCTCCACTTGGCTCCCAGCCGCTTCCGTGCCAGCCGGTGCTGGCAGCTGACTCGCGTTTTATTTACTCGCTCCCAACTCCACCCTCTCCTGCCCCGCTGACTTTGGTGCCTGGCGTTTGCCTGCAATGCCGACCGACTTTAAATATTTATGTGCAGTGTTTCCTCTGTGCAGGCCGTGGGCTGGCTCCCGGGCTATATTGGTAAACAAGACAAGTTCTTGTGGACTCACTTTGCCGCCAGTCATATGCAGTGTGCTGAGTGCTAGGACGGGTGTAAGCTCCCGGGGACGTGGGGCGGAGGACGGGGTAGAGGTGGCGAAGCTGGAGTAGGGAAATCTGGGGGCTGCAGCTCTGTTTCTCCGTTGTAGTTCATGCCATGAATTACAGCCTCATGCCTTGTCCATCTGTCCCCACCCTCCCCCCTTCACTCATCCATTCATCGGATCCTTCACCAATGATTGAAACATAGACTGTGTGCCACGTGTTCTGCGAAGTCCTGGGAACATGCTAGAAAAGTCTGGTTCCTGTACCTCAGCTCGAGGGTCACCTCCTCCGGGAAGGCTCCCCTGACCCGTTTGCAGCCCCATTGCGATGCTCTCGTACCAACCTGTCGTTTCTTCCGTAGCACCTGTAATTAATGGCCTGTTCATTCGAGGCACCGTTCCGTTCATGCAGCTCCTCCCAATCATCTTTGTCACTGTAGTGTTCGCGCTGTCACGTGACAGCATCTTTAATACGAGCAAATCGGACAGACGGACGGACGGACGGATGGACGAACTGGAGCCGAGGCAGAGTGACGCGGGGACTAATTAGGAGACTGACCCAGTCAGTCGTCAGGCAAGAAAGAGAGGAGAATCGAGAACAGGCCAAGGCAGCAGAAGCGGCAGAGCCGGGAGAGGGTCGACAGGGAGAGGATCCGGCGGACTCGGGCTCCGCCCGAGGGTCAGCAGCGAAGCAGAGCGGGCACTGTAAGGTGACCGCGGGGTTCCAGCTGAAGGCCGGGGAGACGGAAGGTCAAAGAACAAGTTTGGAGGGTGCAGCGAAGAGCCTGAGCTGCTGGATGTGCGGTATCTGTTGAGGCACCAAAGTAGAAATTTGAAATTCTTTTAGCCACTGTGAAAGCTGGGATGACACAGTCGTCCCCTCTTCCCCGTGGGCGACGCGCTCCTGGTAGTTGCCGGCAACCACAGCACCGCACCCCACAGGTGCTGTTTTCTTCTCCATGCATATAGTTTTCATAATGTTTAATTTACAAATGAGGCACAGTAAGAGCATAACGACAATAGCTAATAATAAATTAGGACAATCGCATCAATATACTGCAATAAAAGTTATGCGGAGCTGGCCTCTAGAGCTTCTTGTCCTGCCCTCAGCTTTCTTCTTCGGATGACGCGAGATGACCAAACGCCTCCGTGATGACAGGAAGGAAGGCGCTCAGGATGGTGCACGATTTGTAAAACCCCACGAGTTGTTTATTTCTGGAATTTTCCATTTAATATATTTGGACCGCGGTTGACCGGGGACGACGGAAACCATGGAAGGCAAAACCGTAGATAAGGGGGGACTGTTAGCTGCTCTACGAGATAAACTCCACCATGTCAGTGGCCCAACACAAGGGAAGTTTTTTATTTAAAAAAATTTTTTTTTTTTTTTTTTTTTTTTGTGCGGACCAAGCGGGTGAGGCATTCGGGTCTTGGTGACGTGGGGTCCAGGGAACTAGGATCTGTTCGTTCTTGTGGCTCTGCCATTTGCTTGGGGCCTTAGAGCCGAAGGGGAGAGAACATGCCACCTCGCATCCACTTTGGGGCAGAGCCCATCTCCCCCCATAAAGCTGGGAGTCCAGACCGGCCTCTTCTCTGGAACGGGCCTGCGGCGCTCGGGACACGACGGATGGACAGATACGATGGCGCTCGGGGGGCCGTGGAGAGGGCCACGGGGTCAGCTCCGCTCCCAGCCCGCCGAGGCCCTGCGTGGGACATCGACTCCCAGTCCGACAACATGAGTCTCTGGTTTCTCCCAGCCCCATTCTCCGTCGGGTGAATGCTTCTTTATTGACAGTTTTGTCTCCTTAAGGCAGCTCCCAGAGGACCGCCGCCATTATGGCGATAATCACAACACCCACTTCGCTGGAGCGGGAATGTCAAGTGCGTGACATCTGTGACACCCGCCTTACCCGTGCCCTCCCAAGGCCACCGTCTCTGCTCTCCACAGCAGACATCTCTACCGAGCAATCGCGCCGTTCCCCAGGGAACCCAGACACGGCCTCAGAATCCTTCTCGAATCCGGTCTGGTAAAGTCTCAGGGGTTGGCTCGTGCAATGGCACCTACTTGCCCCCCCAGGCCAGCCGTGTTTCCGTTTACACGGTGTTTTTCCATACAGTATCGCGTGTGCTTTTCTCAATAGCTCCGTGAAGTACTTGGCACCGGGCCTGTTTTATAGATGAGAAATTCGCTATCTCAAGAACTTAAGTGACTTTCCCAAAATTACACGTAGAAGTCGTGGCGGAGTCAGGATTTGGACTCAGGGGTCTTGATCTAAATCCCAAGGATACCGGCGAGGCATCCTTCCTCACCCGTGCGTCTTATAGGTAACAAGGTCTTTAATGCGTTTTCAGGGACAGAGGAAGTCGAGCCCAACTGCCGAGCCTCTGGAGCTGGCCCGGCAGATGGCGGGGGTTTTCCTGGCTGGGAAACGTGGTCGCATTCCAGGTAAGCAGCTGCAGCCTCCCCGTCGCTAGCTGGAGTTCGGGCAAATGTTTGCTTCTGTGTGCAGACGCCCACGGGTGCATGCCAGCAGGGGGTAGAGAACGTGACCTCTACACATCGGGAAGGTAGGCCTTGAGCCTCTCGAGAGTGGGATCACGGGGGCAGAGCCATAGCCACCAAGATATAGGGACGGAATTTTGTCCAATAATTGACATTTTAGAAAAAGTAAACGCGCGGTCCGTACCAGTGAAAAGCACCAGACCACGTGCGGTAGACACGTGGACATATCCGCACACCCACTCCGAGAGGCCTAAGCTAAAACCGGCGCTCTCCAGACTCCGGGCCCCTGGAACATGAGATGTGAATGACTCTAGCTGCTGAGTGGTCTTGCGTGTGACGCTGAATCACACAGGGAGAGGAACATGCCCTGGGTTGCGATAGAGACTCTGGGGAGCGATGGCTGCTGGTAGCCTCCTGCTTTACGAGGTGGCTTCTTGGGAGATGGTGGGGTGGCAGCTTCCGGCTTTTGGGACAAGCCTTCTCCGTCACGCATAAGCAGAAGGTCCTTGGGCTGCACAGTTCTTTGTTGTGGCTTCGGGAGTCCCTCCCCGAGGCTCATTCCAATGTGTGTCTTTCATCCCTCCAGTGACTCCGCCATCTGTCTTTAACCCTTAATCAGTGCCTTTCTGTCCAGACCAGCATGGGCGGATTCCACCGTCTGACAACACCCACGCCCTGGAGGAATGCAGCCAGCCTCTGCGGGTCCTTCCTGGTCACTCCCAGGCCCTCAGAGAGGCCCTTCTGGGCCTGGGGCCTATGTGCCGCCCTCCCCGGGGACCAGGCTGTGCCACTGCCGCGCTTGCTGCTCTCCGTCCTCCTCTGAAGCGGGAGCCCAGGTCCTCCGGGAGTTCTGTAAGCGTCCATGTGGGGCCATGGCCCCTGTTCCTAGGACCCCTGGTTCCTGACTCACCTGCGAGCACACCTTCCAAGTGCAAACCAACCCTCCAGAGCCCACACCCCCACCTGCATCGCCTGCGTCCCCTGTGGGGTGCTCACGCTCCGGCCACGCCCCACCTCCGCTGATCACCCTAGGGCCAATCCCGAGCCTTCTCAGCCAGCCTTGCCTGTTCCTTTCTGTGGAAACCACAGCAAAGGTTCTTGCCCTAATGTTCCCCTCATCCCTGTGCCTCCTGACCGCCCCCCACCCCCGCCCCGCTTCCCCACGTGGCCCCGGGGTATGGCGTGTCCTCTTCCCTTAGGATCTCTGAGTGTAACAAAGTCCTGTTTGAATGGTGCTGACTCCTGGTCTGTTGGCCTTATACTTAATAGTAGAAGCTGCATTTTAAAACACCCTTTTATCCATTCATCCATCCATCCATTTAAAAGGTGTCTACATCATTATCTTAAGCGCCAGGATTCTAGGCCTCAAGCACCCCGTGATGAGCTAATCAGACACTATTGCCGCCTTTATGAAGTATAATTAGAGCAACAAACATGAAACAAATAATCGCACGGATAAATATATAATTAAAAAGCATGGCAACATATATGAAGAAAAAAATCACAAGGTACTATGTGAGCTTAGGAGGAGGAGGTGGCTCCTAAACCGAGGCCTGAAGCACGAGCCCGGTGAAGAGCGAAGAACACTGAGGGAGAGGGCAGCTCGTGCAAAGGCCCCGAGGCAGCACGGGCATGTCAGGAGGGCGGTCAGTGTGGGCAGGGCACGGGGAGTGGGGAGAAGCAGGCGTCAGATGGTGCCGCGGGGCTGTCAGGGCTGGGTCACGCAGAGCTTCCGAGGACACCGTAAGGATTCTGGGGTGCTTCCTCAAAGGGACAAGATACGTCTGAAGTATTTTCAGCAGAGAGTTTTCTAATCTAATTTCCTCTTCTAAAAGACCACTTGGCCATTGTGGATGGGGCAGGAGGGACCGGGCAAGGGGGGTGGCTCTGAGATTAGAAGTGGCAGGTGTGTGTGACCGGCTGACCGCGTGACGGGGAGGGAGTTTGGAGGCCGAGTGGCTGCGCGGTCTGCCCCCGGGGAAGCAGGGGTGAGGGGAGCGACTCCCAGACTGTAGAGCCTGAGTTGCTCCTGTGGAGCTGGCTCTACCCTTGCGAGAGCCCCAGGCAGGCCCGCCCCTGAGCCCAGCACCCCTTTCTAGGGGTCCGAGCTGGGCTGGAGAGGCAAAAGTGTCTGGTGCGCTGCCCCCCGCCCCCACCCTGGACCTCTGCCACAAGACGGCTCAGACCAGCAGCCTATACCTTGAGCTCACCTCTGCTGCCCCCACCCCAGCAGAACGGAAGGTTCTGGAGAGGAGAAGGAGGTGTGGAAAATCGGATATGACCTCAGCCACCCCCATCTTTCACGTTCCTTAAAAAGTATCGTTTGCCCCTTCTGGGGTGTGGGCAGGGGAGATCACTTTTTCAGGACTCATAAGACTTCTCTCCTCCAGGGAGTACAAATCAGGAAACTGTGATTTTTCAAAACTGGCTCCCGTCCCCACCAACCCTCCCGCCCCGTGCCACCCCATGCGTGGAGAACTGGTTTTTCTGTTGCTAAAAAAATGAAGCTGGCTTTTTTATAAAAATCACATGTACCGAGGTGAAATTTACATACAATAAAATGCCTTCATTTTAAGTGTATAATTCGATGTCGGCGGTTTTTTTTCCAGTTCAGTGGGTTTTTTAACGTGTCAACACCCAGGTAACCAGCAGCCAGCACAATCAAGATCTAGACCGTTTCCGTCACCTGGGAAAGACCCCTCGGGCCCAGTTCCCGTACCCCGGCCCCAGAAACCACCGACTGGCTTTGTCTGCCAGCACCAGGTCAGTTCCGCATGTTCGAGAATTTCACGTTTAGTAGGGCCGTGCAGTGTTTGATTTTTGCGTGTCCAGCTTTTTCTCCTTAGCCTCGTGTTTTATAAACATACCCCGGTGTCGCGGGTCTTGACGATCCGTTGTTATTGCTCATCGTGTCCCGTGGCCCTGCGCTGGTGGCCCATCACCCTGTCCGCGGGTGTTTGGGTGCTGTCACTGGGCCGGGCGGTGACGAATGCAGCCACTAAGATCGCAGGAGCACCCTTGGAGGGCGCTGTCATTCCCGTCCGGGGAAACGCTGCCCGGCGGAGTTGCGAGGCTGTGCGATGAGGCCGGCGGCACTTCCCTAGAGACAGCCAAGCTCTGGCCCCAGGTGGCGGCACCGCCTTGCAGCCCCATCGGGGCCCGAGGCGGCAGCTCCCCTACATCCCCCCGCCCCGCAACTCGCTTCTGTCGCTTTTTCTTCAGCCATCCTAGAGGGTCTGGATCCCCTCAACGCATTCTTTTTACGTTTTTCCAGGTTTTTCGATTGATAATCGGCAAATAAAAAGCAGTGTCATTAAGGTGTACAATGAGAAGACTTGATGCCCGTGTATATGATGAACTGATCCCCACGATTAATGCCTCCCTCACCTCGCACGGTTTTGTGTGTGTGCGTGAGAACACTTTAATATAGATTCCCAGCAACTCGCGAGTAGAAAATACTGTCACATTAACTAGAGTCACCATGCTGCGCGTTCATCCCCAAAACTTACCGTCTTATAACTGGGCGTCTTGGCTTTGTTCGTACCACGGCAGGGAACGTAGGGGTGTGTATGTCTTTCTGACGTAGTGTTTTGGATTTCTCGAGATCACTATCCAGAAGTGGAATTGCTGGGTCACGTGGCAAGTCCACAGCAGTTTTTGGAGGGAGCCGTGCACGGTTTTCCGTCCCGCAGGCAGTGCACGAGGCTTCCCTTTTCTCCACGGCCCCGTCTGCTCCCTCGGCGCGGTTTTAACGAGCACTTTCTGTCCGCCGTAGATGTCATGCTTCCGTTCAGGGGCTCTTCGCCAGTTATCGCTTGTGAAACGCCTACATATTTAACTGTTTTGTCCACTTTTAAAAGTTGGGTTGTTCGTCATCTTGTTATCGAGTTATACTCTGCACGCAAGTCCTCGGTCAGATCTGTGTATGTTCTGATGTTGTTTCTCCCAATCTATGATGTGTCTTCTCATTTTCTGAAGTGTCTTTGAAATTTTTAGATTTGAGGCAGCCCGACGTATCGGTTTTTTCTCTTACGGTTTACGAAATGGGAATTCTAGCGCTATTGTAAGAAAAAAAATGTGAGAATAAGAATTTTCGTTGTACAGGGGTAAAGAGATGTGAGTAGGAACTTGGAGGCACCTGGGGAAGAAGGAAAAATTAGGAGGGAGCTTCTAAATGCCGGGACCCCCAACCAGGACAGTGGGAACCAGGACGACAGCCGCTGGTGTTTACTATGTTCCAGGCCCTTGGCGTGTATTAACCGTGCAGTCTTCATGTCGCAGGCTCTTGGCGTGTATTAACCGTGCAGTCTTCATGACACCCGTGTGGAACAGGTACGGTTATGACCCCTATTTCACAGTTAGGGAAACCGAGTCACGGTGATTAAGCAACTCTCCCAAGGTCATGCAGCTAATGAGTGGTAGAGCCAGGATTTGAACCCTCGGAGACTGGCATCTGGCCCTTAACCACTAAGCTTTGCAGTGTCTGGTCAGGAAGGCTGCTGGCCGGTAAGTGGTAGGCAAGGAGGCTGGAAAAGTCTGCTGTGGGGGTGTCCCCCGTTGGAGCGTCCTCTGGTGTCCTCGCCAAAGTCCCACCCGGGCTTCTGTACCAATAAGTCATCACCTAAGGGGACGGGACGCTAACCTAAACTTCCTGTCCCATCACAGTCAGATCGAAAGCAGCGTTTCCACCAAGATGCAGACCTCATGCTGCAAACCGGGCACGGGGACCGGAGGCCCCTGGTCCTGCTTTGTGACTTCCCCCCGAGGACGTCCTCGTGGGCTTTGACCTCTCACCTCCCGCACGCCGAAGCCCCATTTCCATCCCCGGTTGTCACCCCTCCCTGGGTGTCACCTCACCGTCTCTGCCTCCACATCTGGCCTTTTACTACCATTTGGCTGGTTCCTCGGTCCCGTTCGTTCCCCGGTTCTGAGCCCCGCCCCTCCAGGATGCCATCCCCCACTGCTCACCCTGCCACAGGCTGACGGCTGGGAGGATGTGGGGTGGGTTCTGAGCTTCCACCTCTGCAGGTCGAGTGGCTGCCGCTCCTTAGAAACACGGGGACACATTCTACAGAGCACACGCATGTCCAAAGTTCACTTGAAGAGACAGAACTTGTTTTTCCCCACTTTTTTAAGCCACGAGAAAACTCTAATCATTTTGAGACGGTTATAGTGTCGGGAACCTGCCCTCTTCATAATAGAAAGAAAAGCTTTTGCAGATAAGTAGTTGGCAATAACAAAGGAGAAACTAGAAAATGGAAACTGAAAAATTACTACATCTAATTAAATACTGGCCTTTCCAAAGAGCTGGGGTAAGAAAAAAGAAAAACACCCTCCAGAGGTCCAAAGCCAGCAGACGATTCGATGAAATAGAACCTGAAGAGCTCAAAATGAGAGAGAGATGAGCTACTGAAAATAGTAATAAACTCAAGGGTTTGATGAAGTTTGCAGAGAAGGTGGACTCTTAATCGAACTCACCTTTGGTAACGTTTGAGCGAGACCTGCCCCCCCTCTCCCCCCACATCACGATAACTCATGCGTTCCATAAAAATTCAGCCCGCATGGGAGATCTCCAACTCTCAACATGGACAGTGTTTTATTTAATCGTCCCGAATGGTATTCCTTTCTTTACGTGGTCATCACACAGGACGGAGTTTCCTTTGGAGCCACCGAGGCCTCATTTGCCCAAGTGTCATGCGAAGCGTGTTAGCACATCAAACTAGGAAGGCTCAGCTTTCGGACTGGAGCTGCAGTCATCTCTGGCTCTTCTCGTGACGTGATCGAGCTCAGAGCGATGAACTCCAGGTAAACGGGGTGGGTCAAAAGGGCTGAGAGCCCGCAGGCCCGGGCACGTGTTGGGTGTCTGGCATGGAAGGCCGAGAGGGTGTTGCCAGGAGGCGTGGGGTGGCCGAGCATGGCCGGGTACACGTGTCCCCACACACACAACAGCACGCTTCTCGCCCAGCTTTTCAACGTCATTCACGTCTCACACCAACATTCAGGCTTTCCAGAGGAGGGAAGGAAGGTATTGACCAAAAAATTGTAACTGGACATAACCATGTCGACTTGATATCGGCCACGCAGCTGGATTCCGCTGTCCGATTCTGCTGCGTGGACACGTGCCGGCTTTGCCTTCGCTCAGTCAGGATGAACACCAAAAGCAAGACAAACTCTGGTATTGTCTTTTGCCCAGGAGAGCCTGGGAGAAATGGCAGAGTCCCCACCCGCAAGTCAGCACAGGGACCGGGAAAGTAGGAGCCGGCACTCCCGGGGGACCCTGGCAGACCCACAGGTCCTGGGGGGCTGGGGCCCGGGTAGAGAGATGCTGGCCCCTGTGACTCGGACTATGGGGTATAGAATCAGCAGCCAGACGGGCCGGGGCTGAACCCCTCGAGGCCTCTGGGCCCTCTGGGCGCCCGGGCAGGTGGCGGTCACAGAGCCACAGGAAGGAATAGGGGGTCGCAGGTGCTCACGTGCTCCTGCCCGCCAGTGTGCGCCCCCCGCCCCCCGCATCGCTCACCTTCCGGCTCACCTGAAGGATGTTGCCTAATTCCTCTAATGACAGGAATCAGACACGTCCCGAGGTGTTTAGCCAATCCGAGAACTCAGTGGTGAGGAAATGAGGTGCTGGGATGGAGGACACCCACCTGGACGCCACGGGCCCCCACCTGGTGCAGGACTCCGACTGTCCCCTGGGACGCCACCACCCACAAAGCCCGGGTAAATCTCTGGGACAGTCTGGCCTCTTTACGGTGCCCGTCTCCCGGCAGCTGGGACCCGCCCTGTCTGGGGCTCACCCCACCCCAGTAGCTGCCATGAGGGCTTAATTCTCCCGCCAGCCTTGGCCAAGCCCCGTCATGGCGATGGCAGACACGTGGAGCCAGTCAGTGGGCGACGTTTGAGGATCCCTAACCAGACTTGGAGTGCCCTCTCGGTGCTGGGGATGGGGACAGGGCGTCGTGGGGGGAGCGGGGACAGCAGGGGAGCCAAGGCTGGGTGTGGCGTCTCCTCTTCCAGGCCTCTGACCGGGGCCGAGAAGGAAGCAGTGCAGACGAGTCCGATGCAGAAGGAATGCGCGGTGCACGTCTTCATTGCTGGTTCCTCCAGAATGAAGGCCCAGATCCTTCCAATAAAAAAAAATTAAAATTAAAAAAATTACAGGGAAAAGTAAAACAAGGAGATGCTATCCCCTCTAGGAGATGAAGCTTGGTGCACGACAGGAAGGACTCCAGCAGGCAGGGCGCACGCCAGGGTGGACACCTTTGCCCCTTTCCCGGGTGACCATGTGCTGGGCACAGGCTCCCCAGTCTCACTGGGCGGCTGTATTAATGACCCCTCATCGTCTGGCTTCCTTGTCCTGGTTTCCTGTCGCATTGCTCCCTTTGTTGTGGGACCCCCAGACGACCCCCCCACCCCCCTGCTCTTCTCCCTGTCGTGCAGCCCCAGCTCCCCCTTCCCTGCCTCGTGAGGCCCTATACATCCCCGCCCCAATCCCGGTAATGTTTAAACCTCTTGTTTTCAACACTACGAAATGTAACACTGACTCAGTAAAGTGTATAAAACATAAATTCACAGCTCCATGAGTTACTACAAAGCAAACGCCAAGCAACCAGCACCCGGATCAGGAAATAGAACATTCCCATCACACCGGCGCCACCCCCCCACCTCACCCTTCCCTAATTACAGTCCTCCCCCTCCATCGGCCTTACTTTTATAGAAACCAGTTCCCTACATTTTCTTTCTTTCTTTTTTTACCACCTAGGAATGCACCCCCTAAAATGCTAGCTTCGTTTTGCCTGTTTCGAACCATTTATAGATGGGATCCTACAGCATGGGCTCTTGTGTTTTGCTTCCTTGGCTCAATTTTATACGTGGGAGAGTCATCTAGGTTGCTGTGTGTAGCTGTGGGTGATTCACTTGCAATGCTGCATAGATTTCCTCTGGAACTATTCCACAGACTATTCATTCTACTGTGCTGGACATTCGGATCATTTCTAGTTTGGGGAGATGATGAGGGATGCTGCTGTGAACATCCTTCTGCACACGGTCTGTTTCCTCTTCTCCTGTCGTTGGGTATCTGAGAGGTTTCGGTCGCCGTTACGAATAAGTCGCTCTGTACATTCCTGTCCATGTCTTTTGAGGGACGCAGCACGGATTTCTCTTGGGTATAATCCAGAGGATGGGGATGCTGGGTCGAGGGTGGATATATATATATATGTGTGAATAGCACCCAAGCTTCTGCAGAGAGATCGTATCGTTCACACCCCCAAAACTGATGTCAGAGAGAGAGAGTTGCAGTCGCTCCACATCCTTGCCAACGCTTGATGTTGTCAGCCTTTTAAACTTTTAGCCGCTCTGCTTGGCGTGTAGCGGTATCACGCTGCGGTGGAATTCGTGTTTCCCGGACAAGGAATGATGTGGAGCACCTTTTTATGTGTTTGTGCGATAGTAGAAAAAAAAAAATATAGATATATATACACACATACACACGCATATGTATATACATACACATATACATACACACACACATATACACATACATATATATGTGTATATGTGTGTGTGTGTGTGTGTGTGTGTGTGTGTGTGTGTTGGTTTCTGCCCCAGTTCCTGGCACAGAGCTCTTGAAACCCTCATAAATTCCTAAGTGACAAGAGCACTAGGAGCATCTTTTGTTCGAATGAGGGCTCCGGGATGGGGGCTGGCACCCGAGACAGACCAGGCCATGATTACAAACTTGGGATTTTCCGCCTCACCCCCCACTTTCCCAGAGAGGGGAGAGGGCTGAAAACAGAGTTAATAATCGGTCATGCCAACGTGCCAGAACCTCCATAAAATCCCAATAGCATGGAGTGCTAAGGGCTTCCAAACTGGTGAACACACTCACACCGGGAAGGTGACACGCCCCAGTCCCATGGGGCAGAAGCTCCTGCGCTCAGGAGCCCCCCACACCACACCCTACGTGTGTCTGTCTCTTCATCTGACTGTTCTTCTGTGTCCTTCGTCACCTCCTTTAATAAACTGGTAAATGTAAGAGTTTGTTTCCCTGAGTTCTACGAGCCACTCCAGCAAGTTAATGGAACCTGAGGAGGAGGATGTGGGGACCTACAACCTGTAGCCCGTCTCTCAGAAGGCCAGGCGACAACCTGGACTTGTAGTTGGCATCTGAAGGGGTGGTAGTGGGCGGGGGGGCTGGGGTAGTCTTGAGGGACTGAGCCCTTAACCTGTGGGATCCGATGCTGTCTCTGGGTAGACAATGTCAGAGTTGAGTTCAATTGTAGGACACCTAGCTGGTGTCAGGGAATGGCTCGTTGTGGGGACAAACTGCTACACGTTTGGCCACCAGAAGTGTCAGAAGTCAAGTGTTCCATGCGAGCAGTAACGGAGACTCGCAGGAGAGAAACACGGGAGGAAAGAACCGAGATTTTCCCAAAAAAAAAGGAAAACACGTTTCTGTTCGCAATGTTTATTGGTCATTTGTAGATGCTTTTCTTAAAAGTGAAGTTCCTTAAGTCGTTTGCCTATTTTTAAAAATTGGGGTGACATTTTTTTATCGACTTGTAGAAGTTCTTTAGATACTGTAGTTAGGAGTCCTGTTGGATATATGTTTTATAAATATACTCTTCTAGCCTGTGGCTTGTCTTTCGCTTTTTTAATAGTGCCTTTTGCTTAACGGACTTTTTAATTTTAATAAAGTACAATCTTTCAGTTCATTAGAATGGAGCTTTTTGTGCCCTGTTTAAATATCTACCTACCACCCTGAGGTCATGCACATATTCTGAGTTTTCTGTCACATTTAGTTTTATGGTCAGATTATTTTTACATATGGTATAAGGTAAGAATCAAATTTTCTTTTTCCCACCGTGCTCACTATCTGCTTTGCCCACACTACCATTTCATTAAAAGATGCTCCAATCCCCATTTCACTGCAGAGGTACCTTGTTGTAAAATACATAATCAAGGGACATATATCTATCTACATAAGGCAGTTTCCTCAGCATGGACCAAATACAGCGGGGCTGTCCCACAATTTCATAATGGAGCAGGTAAGGTCCTATCCCATCTGGAGTGACAATTATCCCTACAGGACTTCAAACTGGCTGTAAGGTGGGATCGCAGCTGGAGCGCTCATCTTTGACCCCACCGAACTTTGAAGGTGGGTGACAGCGCCTCCCCGAAGAAATGACGTTCCAGGTCGTGTCACTTAACACTGGCGTGACCTGGCGTCACAGTTAAAATGACCTCACAGCTCACGTATATCGCAGCCAGTGTGACGTCGCGGCTCGAATGACATGGCCGCTCACGTTCTGTTGCGGCCGGCGCGAGGTCGAGTCCTGGCAGCATTTATGTAGCAGCTCACGTCAGGTGACGTGGCATCGCAGCTGGGATGACCTTTGACCTTTTGAGGGACACAGCACGGATTTCTCATTCCAGAGGATGGGGATGCTGGGTCGAGGGTGGATATATATGTGACGTCCCAGCCGGCGTGACATGATGTCGCGGCTGCAATGACATAGCCCCTAACGTCACGTGACGTGCTGTTGCAACTTGGGTGACTTTTGACCCCATGAGGTTACTTGCTGCGTAATGTGGAGTCGGGGCTTACATGACGTCACAGGACACGCTATGTTACAGCCAGCGTAACATTATATCCTGGCTGCAAGAATGTGGCAGCTCATGTGACGTGGCATACCTAGAGTGACTTTTTTTCATTTATTGGGGTGACATGGAGTGACCTTTGAATACACATGACGTCACAGCCGACAAGTTATGTCACCCTCGGAATAAGGTTTATACATATGTGTCGTCACCGGAATGGTGTGGTGTCGCAAGTGCAATGATGTCACAGTTTAGATCACGTGACGTGGCATCACAGCTGGAGTGACCTTTGAACCCATGCAATTTCGCAGCTGGCATCACGTCGGGCTGCAATGACGTCAGAGCTCACGTTACGTGTGTGGCGTCAAAACCTGCGTGATCTTTGACCCAAGTAACGTCGCAGCCTGCACGACGTGTCACAGCCGAAATGACGTCACAGGTTAAATTACGGGATGCGTCGCAGCTGCAGTGACCTTTGAACCCACGTTAAGTCGCAGTTGCAGTGACGTTGCAACACACGTCACGTGACGTGGCGTCACAGCTGGGGTAACCTTTGAACCTATTTAATTTTGAAGCCTGGGCGACAGACAGTCCATTAGTGAAGATATGACCGTTCAGGTCACGTCTCTTCCCATTGGCATGACCTCCAGTCGCAGCTCAAGTGACTTTTTTAAACTGAGGGACGTGGAGTGACCTTTGAACCGATATTCCGTGTCTGCCAGCGTGATGGGGAATCACAGCTGAAATGACGTCACAGCTCACGTCAGGAGACCTGGCGTCGCACGTGGCGTGACCTTTGAACTCATATGACGTCGCATTGCGTCACAGCTGGGGTAACCTTTGAACCTATTTAATTTTGAAGCCTGGGCGACAGACAGTCCATTAGGGAAGATATGACCGTTCAGGTCACGTCTCTACGCATTGGCATGACCTGCAGTCGCAGCTCAAGTGACTTTTAAACTGAGTCACATGGAGTGACCTTTGAACCGATATTCCGTGTCTGCCAGCGTGATGGGGAATCACAGCTGAAATGACGTCACAGCTCACGTCAGGAGACCTGGCGTCGCACGTGGCGTGACCTTTGAACTCATATGACGTCGCA